TGTACGGTACAGCACGGTATTAATCAGTCTGATTTCTAGACTTTGCTGAACTGTTCCATTCCTTTCAATACCTTCTAAACTCCACATTATGGCGCTGGACCGCTCCTTCAGCCTAATTATTGCCTAAAACCTAGAAAGTTTAACGACTTTTTTAAGACAAGGGCCAACAATTGAAATTTACGTACGTTTTTCATGTAACTTCATTGATTTCTACTGACTTTGAAAATCCGACAGTTTTTTCCAAGCACATGTTGAAACGATCGGAGTGTTTCTTCCTTCATATAAAATCGTGTTGAAAGATAAACAACACAGGCGCTCTTCTTTTTGGGCCAGGGCCAATCGCAATGGAGGGCTGATCTATCCCTTCATGGTGTCGGGATATCTGTCAAGTGCGAGTGCTCAGTTCTAGTTCCTCCCTTCCTCTCTTCATCCTTTTTTCACCCTTTTTTCGTTTTTCTCGTCCTGTCCCTTTCAAAAGCTAGCCCAAGAGATGTGACGAGAAAATGTCTCTACACTCTCCCAACGAGAGAATTCGAAATTTCGTAAGCCCTTCGGTACTGGTCCCTATATCAAATTCACCTTCTTATCGGATAACATGTGAAATTTTTTACGCCGAAGTACTAGTACCATTGAGTAGACTACTCACATCGGGCTTTTCGCGCTCGGGACCCACTTTAACGTGGTTCACGCTAATGTTGCGCTTGCGTGTTCCACCGGTCCTTGCTTCGACATCCTAGTGGCATCTTCAAATTTAAAGAGTGTCGATTCTTACCCACCTCTTCATTGAGCACGCGTGTTAGAGAACATTCTGATGGCAACGACTGATTCAACCACTAAAGCCACAAATCCCGTGGGACCATGACGATAAGATCGAATAGACGTAGGTATCAGAACACACCGCCATATTTGCATAATTTCCAACTTATTCATTAATTCCTTTCGATTATGATCTCGTGGCTTTTCTGGCCACATCTTTAGGTTTTCATTTCATTTCCCTCATCGATCAGTCATTCTTGTGACTTGAGGTCGATGTCAAATTACGGTCATCTACGCATTTACGCAATAGTGATGCGTCTAAGGACTATAATGAGGTTACTGGAGAGCTAACTGACTGTATTGGACCTAATGGAAGCCTGCAGGGAAGGATTCAGGAGAAGAATTGAAGTAAACCTGCTCCAAACCTTGTCATTGAAATAATGTCCTCAATTAGGCACACAAGAGGGTACATTTTTTATATAAAGGGAAATATAGAGGGCTCAGAATGGGGAAAGTCATACATTAACAAAGGGCCAAATGCGGCGCAGTTCGGCGACGGAGGTGGGGGGGGGGGTATTCTGCTCTCCCACTGGTTCTAATGAGACTTGCGAACCTTTGTGAAGCTGGAGTAAGCTCGTCTAGCCGCCATGGTAAAGCTTGTCGGCCCAAGAAAAGGTTATCTAGACGGATTGGCACATCTTTTGGAAGCAAAATGCCCCCCCCCCGTCGGCGAACTGCGCCTCCTAACGCCTTTCTCCTTTCAAAATGCGATTCCACTGCGGAGAATAATTGTCCACTGCTAGGGATTACTTACATGATATGCCCTGGTTGCAAAGTTCTTGGCTGGTCCATCTCAGGATATCTCTCAACCATGTTGGCTTCCTCCTTTTTGCTTTACTTCCTCTTCCCATTTTTGTCTTCCTTCCTTCCTTCTCTGTTTCCTTTCCATTTTCTTCCCTTCAAGTGCTCGGATCGAGAATGCATCGAGAAAAACTTCTGAGTCCTCACAGCGAGAGAACATCCGGTCGGCAGAAGCGCTGACCTGGCTGGTCCCAACGTACGAGACCTTTAGGCATTGGACGAGTTATCCCGTATCACGGTGTCAGTTGGGCGTTCTCAATTATTCTTATCCCAAGTATTACCATAGGCTTCTTTTTCTGAAACATTCATACGAAGCTGGCTTCTCAATTAGGAACATATCATAACGATTCTTCTGGTACTTTTTGATACCAGGAAACTTCCAGGAATCTGCGACTAGTACGGTCTTCTTTTTGAAGGCAAAAATTAGATATTGAAAGCCATTGCAGAGATCGGGTTCACAAGTTCACTCAGGTGGGACTAACGAGCTAATACAATGTAGTAAAACTTTCCGTTCAACAGTTCAACAGTGGGACCATCACAAGCTCTTGCAAGCTTGAATGGTACTACTAGATGCATACCGTTACCTACGGTGGTAGGAGGGCCCACGAAATAAAGCTTCGGATGAGAAAAAAAAACAGAGAAAAAGTAGCAGATAGGCTTTTTGGATAGGTTTTTTGGAATGTGACTTCCAGGAGATGAAGTTATTCAGCAAAACAGGCTTTTATTTCTGCCCATGATAGCCGAAGCGTTGGACCATAAGTGGTGATTTCCGGTGCGACGGGTGTAAAACCAGAAATATCAGGCGGCAGAGACCGTAGCTGCACGGCTGGAGGTCATTGCCCATCCTCGATATGTTGATTACATGTACAAGTATTCACGATGATGTAATCGTGACGCTGTGAAGATGTCCTAGCCAGCTGCCTGCTACGCTTCAAGCCTGCTCTCTACCCCTCCATACAGGAAGCCCCAACGGCTGGTGTCAAGGGTTTCGCTATCGGGCTATAATCCGGCAATAATGTGTCATTGGTCGGCTTAACATATAGAGGCAAACGCGACTCTCCGAATCTGTAATAGAATCACCTGCCTCATCATCTTGTACGGATTATATGCCGCCCGATTACAAGGGGGGATACGGATCTATGTAGCACCTTGAGGATAACCACAGCACTAATGTCATATACAGTTCGTTTACCTTTAATAGAATTATCAACAGATGCAGAAAATATTACGTGAAAAAAATTTTGTTTCTCAAATGAACATCGCTTTGCGACAACGTTTCGGACCTTATACCTCTTCAAAATTACAAGGAATTTGAAAACATTGACGCTCAGGAATTGCAGCATAATGCACAGCATCCAGTACAATTACAGTACCTATTACGATTTCGCAGTCGCACGTTTTTAAAAAAGTGAAGTGAATTCAAGAGTAATTTTCTTAAAAGGAACATTAACGAGGCCACAGACCATGCTGCCGCTAAAGAAAATTTTTGCTAAATACGATCTGTTCGCTCAAAATCCCCCAACCGGTTCGAAACCTTCACCATTCTCTTCTATGTTACCAAGCTTCCGACTTCATCTTTCTTTCTCTGATTTTTTTCGAAAATTTTTAATTTTTTACACAAAAATCCACCTCGCAGGGCACATCATGTCCCACATTTGGAGGGGGGGGGGGGTTCGCATTCGATCGCTGGGGTTGGGGGTCGCATTTGGTCTAGGATTTTTTTGATAGCTAATTTTTCTTGTTTAGGGGGGGTAGGACTTGCTCGTTATTGACGGGGTGAGGTCGTTTTGCTTTCTGAGAAAAATCTGAGGCGTTACGAAAAAATTTTCTCGGTTGTTTGGACAGCAAAACTTCGGGGAAAAACTAGCAATTTTTCGGGAAATTCCGGAAAAATGCAAGTTGGGAAAATCTATGATAGCGGTAGGTAGGATAGGGAAGAGGGGGGGGGTGCATGGAGACCAAAATCCAACCAAGGATGTGCCCTGCCGTTACGAGCGGGCAAGTAGGTATACAACGCAGGACTTTAA